CCAGAAGACAGAAATCTTCATACTAAGAATCGCCCTGATGACGGAGGCAGTATGACCTCTGAAACGTTTGTAAACATCGACCAGACTACACAGCGCAACAACCCAGAAGACAGAAATCTTCATAGTAAGAATCGTCCTGATGAAGGAGGCAGTATGACCTACGAAACGTTGGTTAACATCGACCAGACTAAACAGCGCAACAACCCAGAAGACAGAAATCTTCATACTCACCGCTGTGAGAACCTCAAATCATACAGTTTGTAACTTAAGCATATTAGTTTTGTAAGCCTTTTTGTACTAAGAGAAGAAATTAACAAAACGAAAGTCTATTTGGAACGGCCTGTACGACCCTACGTAATATCAGTACAATACCTACGACGAGGCTATGACATCACCTGCTCCAAATTTATTCGACTATTTTTAATATCGTTAAATAACATTAAATTAATTATTTTCTTTCCCTTTTCTTTCAATGTTTCTGATACAAATTTATAGTTTGCCCCTTTCCGTTACCTTTGTGCTCTATTTAATTTATTTTAATTTTCATTCCCCTGTGTTATTCCTTTCTGCCGTTTGCCTTCTTACTGCGTTTCTACATGCCCCGTTCTTTTCACGGATACTTATGACATAAACAGAGAGTTTCTGAGAATCAAATCAGGTGGGATTTAAGAAACACGACAAAACACCGTTAAAAATAACGTTACCTGGGGAAATCAAATGTAATTCTTTGCAAATACGAGACATACGACAATCTGAACAGCAGCGTCTATTGTTAGGGCGGCTGACAGTATACTCTACATTGTTTCTGAAGTTCATACAGTGTTGTTTGGGGAGGAAACGGAAGAATGCTTACATTTCTCAATGATCACGCTCTGAAGCTTACCACAGGCATCATCTTTAGATGAATATCATTGAATACCACAGGAAAAATTATCCCCAAACCCAAGAACATTTGTCTTTATAGTACCATCTACAGTAATTACTTGAAAAGATATTTCTATATCAATATAAATAGCAGTTGGGACAATTCTTCCTTCTCAGGTAAATTGAACAATATTTTTTTTAATTCGGGAAAATCAGTTACGTTAGGTTAGGTTTCGTGAGGCCAGGCAACACGGAGTTTTCCTCATTGGCATCCCAACAATTACTCCATTCACACACAGAAGATGGCACTGGCAAACCACTTCTGGATCATCTGCCAAGAACGTATATGAACAGGTCCCAGTCCGAGAAAAGGATGGGAAGGATCCTGTTCATATGGACCTGTCGTCAGACAGAACACTAAATAATAATAATAATAATGTTAGGTTGAATTAAGATACGTTAGTTCAGGATTAATTTTGTTGGTTTAAGTTTGCATAAGTTAGGTTGAGTAAGGTTTAGTTAGGTCAGATGGCGTTAGTTCCAGAGACATTACGTTTGGTTAGGTTAAATGAGATTAGTTTAATTTAGATAATTTTAGTTAATTTTACTTTCTAATTGCCAGGTGTCGAATTAATGTCAAAATATATCATTGCTGTCAAGGTTGATGTCGATTGATGCAGAAGATCCAGTGATCTGGCTACTTGGTACTTCTGTCCTGAATGACAGAAATGTATTTGTCTACGTAGTGGAAGTTAATGTTCCGATGGTACAAAGATGTCGCAGATATCACGCTTCGAACTTGCCTATTAATCTCTCATCCGGGCGTCTTATTATACAGAGTGATCATATTGAAAAGCATCTCACACTACCTGTAGTATCATCATACTCATTCAGCTAGCATTCAAACTAAACTACTTCAGAGTTACATGGTTAAACTAGGGGTTATATATAGTCCACAGTTTTGCCAAAAAACATTTCACAGCTGGTACAACACGAAAAATATTACAATGTCTCTTAATAATAAAAATGTATCAATTTTTTAAGTAGAACTAATAATTTACACAAGACGTCTAGTGAAGGAAAAACACGTACTGTCAGGCAACAGTATTATTGTAATTTTTAAGGAAAAAGTTTTAAAAAAGTTGTAAAACATTACTGAGCCTAGGTGTAATGAATCACAGCCAAATGTCGGTGGTAGTCTAACCAAAGTTCCGCTGTGATAATACCACTACCAGTGATTATATGTGCATGCCACCATGCCAATCTCAGTCACGTTTGAACCCTCTTTTACTCTGCAATTCTACCGGTCATTAATTAGAAGCCTAAGGTGTGACATTATCTAGTATAACGTAACTGGCTCTGTGAGGAGGGTAGGATTGAGGGTGGAAGGTTTATCTCTTGATGTTTGAGGGAGTGTGTGGGAGTTTGAGGGGGCAGTATAAAAGTTGACTCAGTGTCACATCCACATCCATTTACAACATACCGTGCGATGTTACAGTAAGCCACGATCCATCTACTACAAACTTTTCTTTTTTTCTTTCTGTAAAAATTGTCATGGTAACATATGTTTAGAGGCAATCATATATTTTGGGTACAGTGGCAATCTAATAAAAATAAAAATTAAGTCATTTTATACGCCCATAAGTCCCACTTCAGAAGTGATAATTGATGTCAGAATATTTGTAACTGCATGCTTCATCATCATTACATGCACCCGCAAATAACAGCAACTGATGATTGATATTAAATATAAATTTAAAATGGCCTGAATAAAGTTGATCATCTGAACGGAATAGTGACCTTAGAGTCTTTTATGTTCTGTAGATTAACACAAACAGTCCAATCCCGCTTACCAAAATACGATTTATCATTATTTGCCTTATAATTAAAATTATTAAAATTAGACTTTATGTCACAACAAAAAATTGTATCTTTAATATCATTATTACATTATCTTAAAAACTAATATCAAGCGTATAGTTTATTTTACTTCAAATGTGGAAGTACATTTTCGTTACAAACACCATATTTTGTCAAAATCGGACTGGCGTTGCTAGAAATACACACACGGTCATACAGTCCTCAGACTCCATAAGGCTTACAGTTTTCAAAAACAGTTGTGAAGCGTGTTCAGAATAGTACGGGCTCTTCAACAAATGTAGGTAGACCCACGTATGTTGTCTGCATTTAATTTTACATTGAACATCCTGTAGGTCCATCTTCGTCTTCACATCGAATATCAGCTTCCTACGACTCCTTGCAACTTCAAGAATCATCGACGTCACACCTGTGCCATCTGGAAGAAATGTTCCGGCTCCCATACTTAAAGTGGACATTGCGATGGAAATCTGCCGTCTAGCTGTTTACCTACTAGATATGGCGCTGTCGGAAATCGATCCTTCGATCTAGCACTGCGTGCAGTTGGCGGATGTGTGCTATTTGTTCCCATACAATAAATCTTCAATAAAATTTTCATGTAAGGTATAAGGTCGAAAGTTTTTAGCGGACATTCGTGAACGGTATAAAGTGCATTATTATCTTCAGAAGGCAAATTCGGAACAGTTGTGTGATTTATAGGTCCCCGAACTTCTCAATACCGGGAGGAAAATCCCCGCCTAGGACTCCTAAAGCTGGATCAATAAATCACACCCTCCTGAATCCTAAATCCTATAATGTTTCATGGTGGTACAAGCTATACAAATTCACATATAGGATGTTTCGTTCCAAACGAAACTAGAAATGCAACAGAATCTGTAAGCTTTGGAAGCTTTAAATGTCTGTGGAGTTGCTTCCACAAAGCAGCAGATAAGATCATCATATATCTTTACGATTTAATGTAGTTAAGTCGCCATGGTAACGTCATGCTGGATAATTAATTAATGTGTTTCCATGGACACGTGTGCGTCAGGCTTCTGTATTCGTACACATTAAAACCACAATGTGACGACTAACCAGCCAATACAAGAACCAACCGTGTAAAAGAATTAGTTCAACTTCACTCCTACTTTCTCACGCGCGTACAGGTGGGCATCACAGCGAGGCGACTTTCATCAAGGTTAAGGACGTCTATGATGATGACAGAGTTACTCTTGGACAACGGCGTAATGGCGTTATCGGAGTCCCACCTCACGAGTTTAAGCATCAATCACATTCAAATTGCCGAATATGGGATATTATAATATTACGAAAATTGATCTATTTATAGTTTATTTAACGACGCTGTTTCAGTAGCTAAGACCATATAGCGGCTAATTAAAATATGATAGTGAATAATGAATTGGAAAGACGTGGAAGGAAGCGGTCGTGGCTTAATATAAGGTACTATACCGGCATTTGAAGAAAATTGCGAATAACCTCTGGCCGTGTTAAACATCGAAAATTTTCCAATGACATAATGTCCCTACCAAATTTCACGAAATTCTATCCAGCCAATTTGTAGTTGCTTCCACTTGCAAACCGAATAATAATTTAATCTCGTGGATTCAGGTCCACTTTCAGCAGACATTGTCTAGTTATTAAATTAATTCAGTCGGATATCAGTCGTGAAACTTAACAGTCAACGATCACCGAACAATGGCAATGGCAACGGTAATGAATAGCACGTACATGTCCGAAAATCCATTTATGTATACGATACTGATGTTGCTGTTATTCTGATCAGGTTGTGAGCTATTTGCGCGACATCTGCCGGGAGAATGCAATATTTAAGTACAGAATGATACATTATTTGGAATCAAACTTTAAACTGTATGGTCGAATTTCGGTGATGTGTGTAATGTGTATATTATACAAAGGCCGAAGAATATAACGGAGTTTTCTTAGAACATCTTTTGTACGTTTCTATTAAGATGTCTCAAAAGAGTCGTGTTATTAACCTGTACAAAACGGTGAGTTGCTTCAAAACGTGGTAATCTGTTTTTATTGAATTTTAATTGCGTTGCAATGTAGCTCACATTCTGTATTTGAATATACGCTACTTATGGAATCAATTTTGGCAACTGATGGTTAGTTTTTCAACGTATGTTTACAATTGTCATCTTTGGCGACCTCAGTTCCATAATTTTTATACAAACAATTTTCGAAATTTAGAATTAGTTTTGTGTTACATGTATGCATTTAACCAAATGAAATATAATCTAATATCACATGCAATCTAAACTCATTGATAACTTCGCCTGACCCAACCTAACAAATGACTCTCCACAATGTGATTCTCAATTTAGTATTGTACCAAAGTGGTAGATAAAATGAATGTTATTGACCCCCCCCCCCACTTTGTTGTCATATTGAATTTTTAAATAAGCTATTATTAATATGAAGAAAGTTTCATATATATATGTCAAAATTCCAATTCCCAAAGAGGTACTGCAGTACCATGGAGACTATTCTTTAAATACAATAGCCACATTCTGTGCCACTGTTTCATAATTACAATTCTATTATTTTAAAAGAAAGGGCAGGTACACATGTAATTTATTATTTATCAATACAATATACATCAGTATAAAGTATCCATATTTGTAAAGAACCTCTAAGTAATTCATCTTTGTACCATAAAATTACACATTCCTCATTCTGAAACCATATTCTAAGTTAATGATATCTTAAACTGTCTAAACAATTATGGGCTGTGCATTGCATATACTGGCAGTTCAGTTGACCATGCATTGCATTTTACACATGGTACAGCTGGCCGCATGTGACACTAGCATACTATTATGCCACTAACCCAACAGTTAAAGTCTAGTCCACAGCCCCATAGTACAGGGATTTAAATCCTATATTCCCGTGTAATAAACATTAAGATGTAAATTATATGCAATTTCCATGTTTTAGTTACTGCATCTTGGCCGAGAATATCCACAAGGTTATGATTACTTTCGAACTCGCCTGAAGCGAGCTTTCAGTAAGAATAAACAAGTTAGTGATCCAAAGAAAATTGACATTTTGATTGCTCATGGCAATTATGTGGTGAAGGAACTTGAAGCGCTCTATATGCTGCGTAAATATCGCACCCTCAAGAGACGATACTATAGTGATAATTAATTATACTGTTGATTGGAGAACAGTTTCCAAAGTTAGTGTAATTAAGACTGACAGGATATGGCCATAATAAATTATCAGTTTCTTCTTTTCTCTCAGAAAATAAGTGATGTGGGTTGTTATTTGGAAATTGAAGTAAACTATATTCCCAAAAGAGGATACCATCTGGAAATCATATTTTTACTTCCTCCTTTTTGATATAACAGAGGGGCAGAATTATATTTTGTAAATAATCATAGTCTCTGCTCTGGAGTTCATTTCAAAATGAAAACTGTAGCTGCAACTAAGCCCAGTACTTTTTTGTGCATTTTCTTTGTTCAGCCTACTCGGTATATACTAAAAATAAGTGAATTGCACAGTGCTGGCAATTAAAAAATACATGACAACATCTTACCTATATTTTTTGCATACATCATGTCCTCAGAATTCAATAGACAGTTTCATTATAGCACATAGCTTACAAAACATGTTTTAATGTAAATATTGATAACAGAATTGTGTCTGATCTTTGTTGTCATATTGAATTTTTAAATAAGCTATTATTAATATGAAGAAAGTTTCATATATATATGTCAAAATTCCAATTCCCAAAGAGGTACTGCAGTACCATGGAGACTATTCTTTAAATACAATAGCCACATTCTGTGCCACTGTTTCATAATTACAATTCTATTATTTTAAAAGAAAGGGCAGGTACACATGTAATTTATTATTTATCAATACAATATACATCAGTATAAAGTATCCATATTTGTAAAGAACCTCTAAGTAATTCATCTTTGTACCATAAAATTACACATTCCTCATTCTGAAACCATATTCTAAGTTAATGATATCTTAAACTGTCTAAACAATTATGGGCTGTGCATTGCATATACTGGCAGTTCAGTTGACCATGCATTGCATTTTACACATGGTACAGCTGGCCGCATGTGACACTAGCATACTATTATGCCACTAACCCAACAGTTAAAGTCTAGTCCACAGCCCCATAGTACAGGGATTTAAATCCTATATTCCCGTGTAATAAACATTAAGATGTAAATTATATGCAATTTCCATGTTTTAGTTACTGCATCTTGGCCGAGAATATCCACAAGGTTATGATTACTTTCGAACTCGCCTGAAGCGAGCTTTCAGTAAGAATAAACAAGTTAGTGATCCAAAGAAAATTGACATTTTGATTGCTCATGGCAATTATGTGGTGAAGGAACTTGAAGCGCTCTATATGCTGCGTAAATATCGCACCCTCAAGAGACGATACTATAGTGATAATTAATTATACTGTTGATTGGAGAACAGTTTCCAAAGTTAGTGTAATTAAGACTGACAGGATATGGCCATAATAAATTATCAGTTTCTTCTTTTCTCTCAGAAAATAAGTGATGTGGGTTGTTATTTGGAAATTGAAGTAAACTATATTCCCAAAAGAGGATACCATCTGGAAATCATATTTTTACTTCCTCCTTTTTGATATAACAGAGGGGCAGAATTATATTTTGTAAATAATCATAGTCTCTGCTCTGGAGTTCATTTCAAAATGAAAACTGTAGCTGCAACTAAGCCCAGTACTTTTTTGTGCATTTTCTTTGTTCAGCCTACTCGGTATATACTAAAAATAAGTGAATTGCACAGTGCTGGCAATTAAAAAATACATGACAACATCTTACCTATATTTTTTGCATACATCATGTCCTCAGAATTCAATAGACAGTTTCATTATAGCACATAGCTTACAAAACATGTTTTAATGTAAATATTGATAACAGAATTGTGTCTGATGAATTCTGAAGATCACAGAAGATATTAATCATTATTTTCCTTGTGTCGCATCTTACGTGCAGTCCAGCTTTATGTGCATTGCACTAGCATACTGCTATACCATTAACCTCTGACTTTAAGTCAAGCTGACAGATCCATATTACAGGGCCTTAAATCACCTTCACCTAGATGATAAAGGTTAAAATATGGAATCTGTACTGAAACACCAAAGAAAGTAAAATAAACTTTAATCATGGTGGTGAGTGTTGGCTAAGTTAATAGTTATGAAGAGCCAAAGTACCATATAACAAACAATCTACTGCAGTTCTGTGTATAAACACCAATTCAGAAATACTGTCTTGAAGAAAACAAAGTAATGACATAGAACTTCACTCTCTTGGCTTATTGAACTGTAGTAATTAACAGCTGACTGTAATAAATGTGTATATCATGCAGAGATTTAAATTTTAGTGACATAAGTTTGTAAAAAAATCACCTAAATAAATAATGAACTATACCAGTCAGTTAGTCACACTTCTTCATTTTTTGTCCAAGGCATGTTCCTCCATCTTAAACCCTGAAAACTGAGGTAGCATATTGCTCTAAAACACTGGTATACAATGTAACTACATGGAACAAGAACCCATAAGACCACTGTCAGAACACCAACTCCATGAAAACCTCAAATCCTACATTATTTACAGATTATAAATATATTTGTTAATGAGGTATATTTGTCTCATTTTAATATTGGAATAGTGTAAAATGAATAAATATGAATATGATTTATATGTTTGTGTATAATTTATAAATGTGGAGTGATTCTTTATGAATGTGGACTTGGAAGAAATGGACACTTCTCCTATCAAGATGGGCCAATCCAAAACTCCTAAGTTTCTATAAATAAGTGACTAAGCAGTCACAAAGTTTTCAAATAACAAGCAGATGTTCTGCCATTAAATCACTGCACAGCATCAATTTGTAGTGAACTCCAACCAAGGACTACTGTCATCCAGTAACATGTAGATGTTAACTGTTCTTTGGGTTGTAATGACATATGACCTTGTATGTTGTTACCAACATTTAAGGTAAATGCTGATAACCAACTACAAAGCCAGATGGCAACATAACCCAGATCATAATCAACATCTTCCCCACTGTGAGATCCTCAAATGTCAATGTAGTTATCAGATAACTCTCGTAGACTCCAAGGAGCTTTATGAATATAATAAATGGAAAGGAATCGACTTATTTCAATTAAAGTCACAGAAACCTTAGTAGCAAAGGAATATAAGTCTAACAATTAGGATCTCTAAGAAATGTTACAAGGTAAAGAAGAAACTGTATGATGTACCTACATACAGAGTAGTTAATTTTACTACATGAAGAATGACATGCACAGGTGAGACAATACAGAATATAAATACACACACTCCCATATCATACAACTAAAATAACTGGTGCTGAACGCCCAACACGTCATACCAAAATCCACTACCTATACATTCTGACAGAAGTGGCCACACTTTTTGCTGTGTAAGAAACTGCCTTTTCAAATAGTGAACTTTGACTTAATTATCCAGTAACTGTTTTGAAATGTTAAGTAAATCATGGTATTTCGTGCAAACATCCAACAACTTTGTGTTGCGCAGAGGATCGTGGGTAATGGCGTCATCGTTCTATCTAACAAATTAAGAGACCATCTAGTTGGTATTACTGAGTGTAGAAAGATAATAAGTTATGAGTTTGCAGCAGTATGTCATAACGCCTATATAAAATTCCATATATTTCAGTTCAGCCGTTCTATGATTATTAAATGCGTACAGGCGTAAAGAAGTTTGGTTATGTTTGGTCAGCTTAGTCACGCGCAGATGATGATGGGTAATGACGTCATCATTCTACATGAAATTCAAGCGACCATCTGTAGATGGCGTCTTCCGGGTTGTTGCTCCTTCATCAGGGCGATGATCACCCTGATGATGGAGGCAGAAAGGACCTCTGAAAGGTCGGTTCACTTCTACCAGACTACACGGCGCAACAATAAAGAAGACAGCCACCTTCAGACTCATTCATTCATTACCTT